TTAAGCTTCCCATGTCACGTTTCAGTGGAATACACATAACTGAAATTTAAAAACCCAAACCCATGTCTTTTGAAAGATGAGTCCAAGCATCTGATGATTTACTGTTTTTGTGTTTCTCTTCCATTCATTCTTCCTCTCTCTTCACACTATCCCTCCCCCTTTCTTATTAGCATATTTATAAACAGCTTTTCCCTTTCCTCCTGACGTATCTTCTACATAGATCCTGTGGAAAAGGTTTGAGTTGTCAACTTGAATGTCTGCATTTGCTCTCAGTGACAGACTCAACATGGCCTAGACTAGGGGCAGGTGACGGACAGCACAGAGGTCCTCTGCCTCTTTCTGGGAATATACTTGTACTGGGGACACCCGAGTCTACTTTGGCATTTCCATGACAGTGTCACATGGTTGTGACCGAGGTCACCTGGCTCCCAAGTCATCTGGGACCGTAAGAGAAAGCCAGCCATCTTCTGCTTTAGAACGGCAGTCAGTTTCCTGTGGCACTCTGGAGACAGCAGTCCCTGGTCTCTTGCTAGAGCCAAGTCTGGGGTCTACTTATTATTTCTGTGCAGGGAATCCATCTCCCTCTGCAGTTTCTCCTGGTTGATGGGTTCCAAAGGTGAGCACATCTACATGACGGTTTGACAGGGTGTGCCATTTCAGTGTTTTTCCATTTCTGAAAGTTCTCATCCAATTTTTGCTATTACTGCTGCATTTCTTGATTTCTCCTTTGGTGATTCCTACTAGAAAATATGAAATTTTTCATTCTATGTCTTTTAATTTATCATTCATAGTACCATCTCGCTGCCTCTTTATGCCACATGCTGAGTGATTTCCTCAGATTTAATCACCCACTTCATTAAATCTACCTTCAGTTGCATCTCATCAGTTAACTATTCCAAGTTTTCATTTTAATGTCTATACTTTTCATTTTAAACTGTTCTATTTGGATTGCCTTTTAAATCTGTTCCCTTGGAAAGCTATCCTATTTTACTGTAATAATTTCCATCCCTTATTAAATACTAAAAAGCCTTCTCATTTTTGTAGCTTTATATAGTTTTTTTTTTTTTAAATAAACCTTTGCTTTAGATTGGTTTTAGTCATATAGAAAAGCTCAAAGTTAATATAAACTGTTTCTATACGTCTTGGGCCTAGTTCCCTTTTTAAAAAAGAAATATTTTATTGGCGGTTCCCCATTGTTAACCTCTTACATACAGTGACATGTTTATTCCAATCGAGAAACTTATACTGGCACATTACTGTACTTCACAGTGAATTCAGATTCCACCAGTTTTCCCCTAACATCCTTTTCTGGGCCTGGATCCCATCTAGGACAGCCCCTTGCATTTAGTCCTAAGCCTCCTCTGCACTGTCACTTTCTCAGACTCTGAGGAGTTTTGAGGAGGCGGGTCAGGTATTTTGTCCCTCCACTTGGGTTTGTCTGATGTTTTTCTCATACAGTTTGATTACATATTCGGTTTTCTGGATGCCATCTTTCCTCAGTGGTAGTCTGTTGCCTATGTGATTTGTCCCTGTTTTATCTTTATTTTCGTGTGATCTTATCTTTACTTGGGAATTGCTCTCTTTACCCCCCAGGTGTCTGGTGAGCCTGGATAGCAGGAGGGTCCCTTGGAAGAGGCTTTAGGTTTGTTCTTACAAAACCCTGAAGATTATTTAATTATCCTAGACCCAGTTTTTATGTTGAATCCTGTGTTTGTGTTCTCTGGGACGAGATCAGGTATACAGTCATGGGTCTGGGCAGTTGCACATGATCTACTGTGTCTGGTACCCTGTCTCTCCATCCAAGATCCTGGAGAGGCCGAGTTCCATGTGCACGTTCCTGGCCAGTGGGGGCAGCTCAGTTGACAGTACCTGCAAGCCATGGTCTCTGTGCCAGGATGCTTCCGTTCCTCCATGGGCAAGGCTGGCCTCCATCCACCAGACCCATGGGGAGCACTCTGCCTTCGGTTCCTCCCTTTATGGCCGGCAGGTGGCATTTCTTTCTCCTTCTTGGTCCAGGGTATGTAGGAGCCAGGTTTGCTCCTCGGTTTACTTGTAAAGGGACATCAATGTCAGTTGAATTCACCACATTACTAGAAGTACTAGGGACAAATTTTAAGCTTCTTAGCAGAGCTATGGCCTCCAAATCATGTTTTCTGCAGTGACTGAGCACAACGTGGGGCATGCGGCAGCACTCACTCAACAGTAAATGAAGGAATGAACGAGTGGGGACCAAGAGGCCAAGCACCTGCAGCCTCAGGGAGACCTTCAACAAAGCCCTGACTGGGTCCCGGAGACTGGGAGCAGACAGCGAGTGGGGGCAGCGTCCTTCTACCAGTGCCCCAAGTCCTGGCGGCCCTGCCTCGTGCTGCCCTGCTTCCCTGGTCGATCATGACTCCTTGCTGGCTCCCCTAATGGAGCCGTCCGTGACTTTGATCACCTGACAGTGTGACTACCTTCCCCCACTCCAGGAGGAGTCGACTGAGAACCGAGGAGGGACCTGAAACCACGCATGCAGCCAAAGTTCATGGTGGAGCTGCAGCTGGTGTTCTAGGGCACGACGCTGCCTCCACTTGGGGATACCACCGGGGCCCTCCTCAGCTCTGCAGGGCCCACCTCTCTGGACCCCACACATGGTCACTGGCTGTAAAGCCCCAATATCATGGGAAAACAGGGAGCCGCATGGCTCAGGCTCTCAGTAGGAACAGGCAGAGCATGGGCCCCACCACCTGCTGGGCTGGGCACCCGGGCCTATGGGGCGGCAGGGCCTCCATCCAGCCCACAATTCTTCCAGGGCCTCTCCTCTCAGCTGCCCAAGCAGGAAGTTCTCGCTAGCCGCTTCCCTCCGTCCCTCACCTCCCACGGAGCCAGTGTGAGCCTCAGCTGAAGGCCAGCAGGAGTGCTCACAAGCCTTGCCTGGGGACCGCCCTGCCTGTCACCCACGAGCAAGGTCACGGACGTTCAGAAGGGAAGGCACCGAGTCCACACTACAGGTGGGGTCCTAAGTGGGGGGTGGCTGAAGGAGCAGGGTCTGTGAGGGAGAGGCCCTTCCCTGTCTGCAGCCTTCACTGCAGGGAACCCCTCCCCACTCTAGAGGGCACAGTGACAGCATTGGCAGAATGGCCCCAGCAGGCCTGTCCCCCTGGCTGTCATGGCAGGTGGATGGGGGCTTCTTGGGCCTGGGGCTCCTGAGCAGAAGGGTCTTTGTGGCTGGAAACGTCCAGGCCCGCTACCCCTGCCCCAGCCCAGGTGGAGGACGGGCTGGGGCTTATGTAACTCCCAGAGTGTGTCTGGGGGGAGGGAGGAAGTGGGACGGAAGTGTTTTCGCTCCAGTTCCTTCAGAAATACTCATCAAGATTAGCAGAAAGCGCAGGTGACAGACAGAGGGATATTGGAGTTGACGTCGAGATGTCACGGGGGACATGGTGCCACCAGAAAGAGCCCAGCCTGTGAGTGCAATGCCCGAGGCACGGCTGTCACTTGCGGGCACAGGCCTTGTGTGGCGTGTGCCGTTTCCTGTGCTCCGGGAGGACCTGGCCTTTGAGAGCTTATAAGGTCAGCCCCTGGGGGCTCCTCACCCGCTGCCCGACTCCGAAACTTGTCCTGGTCTAATGAAGTCAAGATCAAAAGGCTGCGCCACAGGCCAAGCGCCCCGTGCCCCCTCCCGAGCCCCGAGCTCGCACAGCATTCCGCGGGTGCTCTGAGTCATAATTAGCCTTGTTTTCGGTGACATTTCTAACGTTCTAAAGGCCCTTCCTTCCCCACCTACCACCTCATTTGATTTGGATAATGGGCATCATTTTCAGGATGAAGCAGATCGGGAGTGAGGAGCGGCCGCCCCAGGGAGGAGGGAGTCGAGACCAGGCCCCCCTGGACCGGGGACACGGAGCCATTCCTTGGGGTGGGGGCACAATGTTGGGGGCTGTGCCAGTCTGAAGGCGTGGACGGAGCCTCCGAGGTGAATGACGTTTTTAAGCGACGGTCAGTTCCCAGGTCTGCCGAACGTGCACGTCCACCTGAAGCTCACCCGTCACTGTGCCCAGAGTTCACCCGACCGACCCCACTCATTGTCCCCACTCATCGTGACCGTCTCTTCGTGCCCTGAGGGCCACGGAACCTGCAGCTCCTTGGTGGAGCTCCCCTGCCTGGCCTCTGAGGGACCCCCGTGGTCCCACAGCTGTGACCTTGAGAAGTCCCTGCTTAATTCAGGGGCTGGGGAGGAGGAGAAGCGGTTACAAGGCTGGCGGCCGTCTATGGAGGTGGGAAAACGAGACGTCGAGGTGACAGGAGCTTTGGCTTGGTCAGCAGGGTGCACGGTGGTGACAGGGAACCCTGGAGGGGGAGGTGCCACCCAGCAGCAGGCAGAGACCGTCAACCAGCTGCGGAAATGCTCGGTGTGGGGACCGGGCAGCACCCTGGGGAGGGAGCGGACCCACAGGAGTAAGGAGAGGAGTCTCCACGGGAGGTGGACGTGGGTGTCACCAGCAAACAGACAGAAAACTAGGCCCGGGAATGCGAAGGCCGTCCAGGGAGTGCAGGAAACCAGGAGGAAGGAGGTTCCAGAGACAGATCCCGGGGTCCCGGCATGTGAGAGGGGTCAGAGGGTGAGACACACCTGCGCACCTTCCTGAGGCAGGTCTAAGGGGGCCGGGGAGGGCTCAGTGAGGGAGGGAGGGAGGGCTCAGGAAACGGGGCCATTGTGACCCTCGACCACTGTCCCTGCCACCCCGGGTCTCTGCATGTGCAACATGTCTGCAGAACCGCCTGCGGCCAGAACCGCCTTCTATCTGCAAAGTGTCACCCACTAGAGAGCCAGGGGCACAGACCTGCTTCTCTGAGGACCTCTGACAGGCGGGACCTTGACTGGCCTGTCCCGACCCCACGTGCTGGGGGGCAGGGGGGGCGCATCTCCATCGCGGCCAGGCAGCTCACCTGGGTTTACGCACCTCAGCACGCAGCACCTCGTGTGCAGGACCTGCCCTGGGCTCCTGGCGCTGACTTACCTGGCGCTCTCAAAGGTGGCAGATGCCGTCTTTTCTACAGCCCCAAATCCAACTCCAACCGCAAGGCCCTCTGAAAGGAACACACAGAGGAAAACACGGCAGGTTAAGAATGATTTTCTGACCAGGAACATCGCCATCACCACTGCCGGGTCGGACTGGGGCATAAACCAAGGTCTTACCAACAGTGTGGGGTGGAGGTGGGGGCAAACGGGCCTGGTTTTGCATGGCCTGCAAACTAAAGAAGATTTAACATTTTTTAACTTGTTTTTAAAAAATCAAATAGTATTTCATGACATGTGATGATTCCATGCCATGATGATTTTAGTATCTACTAATTAAGTTTTAGTATCACACAGCCAGGCTCATTGGTTGATGAATTAACTTCAGAATTCATACTACTAAGCAGAGCTGAGTAGCTGTGACAGACACCAAATGTCCTGAAAACCTAAACAGTGTACAATCTGGCCCTTCAACAGAGTGTGATGACAACCTGAACATGTGGGGCTTTTGTTTATGAGCTTATGTGACAAAAAGTCTAAGAATCTCATGAAAGCCCAAGGACATCATTGGAGACAAATTAGGTCCTCATAGTTGCAAAATGACTGCGCCCCTCCAGGCACTTCACCTAAATCCCAGGCAGGAAGAAAGTCAAAAAGGCAAGAGATTTTCTTGATTGAGGCTTTGTCGCCTGACTCGGGAAGGGAAGCCTTTTCTGGCAGGCCTCCACTTAAACCTCCTGGGGCAGAACAGAGACACGTGCCCACTGTGAATGAGACTGGCCCCAGGCCCAGAACACTAAGCCTCCGTGACAGGTTCATGGAGGTCCTGATCTCTGCTCGGGCTGGGACCACCCTTCCTCTCCCGTGTGCCACCAGAATAAACTGGGGCCTCGTCAGGAGGAGTGGGAGGTGGCAGAAACACCGTCACCAGAATGTGCTTTGGGATGACTGTCCTTCAAAGAGCATCCGGGCTCTCGAAGGCACCACCTCGGGTGGAGACAGCTGGGGTCAACTCCAGGCCGCGTGGCTCTCGTCCAGCCTGAAGCTGGAAGGCGGAGGAGGCGGTTCTCAAGCTGTGTCCAGTGGGGCTCACGGACTGGCCGAGCCCGCCCACCTGCCTCTGGCCCCGTGGAGGGACGTGGGGTGGAGAAGGGCCCCAGCCCGGCTGGGACCGGGGGAGGAGCAGTGCAGCCTGAGGCGCCCACCCTGACCTCCCTGGGGCAGTGCATGGCTGCCCTCCACCCACCAGGGCCCTCCAGGTCCAGGCCCAGGCCAAGGGCTTCTCTTAAGGGCCAGAGGGGAACTTCTTTTTTTCCCCTTTTTTTGGTCCTGGAGATTGAGCCCAGGGGTCTTAACCCCAAGCCACACCCCCATCCCTATTTATTCTGAGACAGGGTCTGGCTAAGTTTCTCAGGGCCTTGCTAAGTTGCTGAGGCTGGCTTTGAACTTGCGATCCTCCTGCCTCAGCCTCCTGAGCCACTGGGACTTCAGGTGTGTGGCACCGCTGTACCCAGAAGAGGGGACTTTCTGTGAGGAGGGAGGAGGGCAAAGCCTCCCGAGTGAGAGGGGCTTTTGGAGATTCAGTGTCTCCTTGACCGTTTCTGTCCTTGTGTCCTCTTCAGCTGGAGTGGCCTAGGACACCTGGAGGCACAGGGGACAGGAAGGCTGCTTCCGACTGTCCCAGGTTAAGGAGAGAAAGCCTCCTGGGGCCCAGACTGGGGCCAAAGGCCCTGCCAAGGTGGCAAGGGCTCTTCTCGGCCTCGTTTTGACCTTTGTGCCCCATCTCCCCGGGGCCTTATGGGGTGACCACAGGCTGCCTGGCCACTGGTGGAGAATCTGGAACTCTGACTCCCCACCCAATGGCTTCCCAGGTTTCTTATAGCCACCAACCCTGGGACGCAGAGTTCTAGGGCTGTAGAAGTGGTGGGCACCCCTGGGACCGGCCGGTGTGACATTCACAGTCAGGTGATGGGTAGGGGCTTGTTTCTGAAGCCACAAGGCATCGGGGCTCCTGGACCCGTCCCAGCATACGTGGAGCACGTGACAGCAGCCCAGAGAAGGGCCGACACCCCCTTGGCCACCCCCGAGGCAGGAGGAAGCCAGCCAGGTCAACATCGACCCAGCGACAGGCTCGTCCAAGCCGAGGGTTTAAATCAAATTCAGTTTAATTTATCTTTAAGGGACCTGATGTCAACCCGTAATCACATCTGCCACCTGCTGAGCCCTCATTTGCCTATGTTTTCCTCTAGGGTGACGCTGGGTTCCCATCAGGTCTTGTTTTGAGATCACAGGGTTCTTGCCCTTGGGAATGGGGGCGGGTGGCGGCTTGGTGGCCTTTTGTGGGCCAGGCACCAGGTGGCACGCCTTACACATGAACTGCAGGAACTGTCACCTCCCGGCTCTGGAGCAGAGAGAAAGGTGCTGGGGAGCTGGCCCAAGAGCCAGGGGGGGTTCTGATTCTGGGGTCCCAACTCTTGCAGAAATTCTCAGAATGGACACTACATAGAAGCCACAACCCGAGTGAGGTCTGGATACACTTTACTACTTCAAGATCTGCCTGGTGTTGGTGAAGCTGAATTCAGGGCAGGCCGGGGTGGCTGTCTGAGGGCTCGGCCCACTTCCCACTGACAGGGAACAGAAAGACACGAGTGGGGGGAACATGAGATTAAGGGAATGATTCCGTAAGCTGGGCCTACAAGCTTTCTTTTTATGAAAAACCAACATACCTGCCGCCCTGCCTGGCTTACGTGAACAGGATACCTTACGTTCCTCAGCAAACTACCTGTTCTCTGCAAGAGATCTGCAGGCCTGAAATGCTGCTCCCAACACCACTGACACCCTGAAGCAGGGTGGAGGGGAATCCTCGTGATTCACGCAGACCACACAGATCCCAGAACTAGGGAAACAAGGACAATTCCCCCTTAAACAGAAAATCTGTAAGGACAGGTTCCAATTAGAACCAGTCAGCACGGGCCAAAGTGACCGAGAGCTCTCATGCGCAGAGGGGACTTGAGAGTCTGAGGTCATTCTGCTGTCMGTCAAAAGTCAAGGTGGGCCTGGGCAGAACCCTGTTTCCCTTTTCCTACCATTTAGTACTCATGCCTGCCACTCTGAGTGACGCGTCTGAGCTCTTTCTGGTGAGAGTGAGAAAGGACAGCCACAGCTGGAGCTCTGACACAGCGCCTGCCGGCAGGAGGCAGCCCCCTGGGTGCAGAGATGGCCACGCCCGCGGTCAGCAGGACGCAGAGTTAGAGGAGCCTAGGCTTTGGCCTCATGACCTGCCTCCTCTGTTCAAAGGGCCCACTGTTTACAAACCTGCTGCTCTCCGCCTTGTTTTGCACCCACATGGCCCATGCCATGACCCACTCCCGAGGTAACAGAGGGTCTCTAGGTTCAAGATCTTCCCCAGGGAAGGTGTCAAAAGCCAGGGAGGGACTCAGAGCATTTCCTGACACCAAATGTGCATATCCCTCCTTTTGAGAAAATTTGCTATAAACAACAGCTGGTTGGCCTTTTGTTAAAGTTTTCCTGTAATTAGTCAATTTAATGTAAATGATAGTGTAGCCAGAGCAACAGAACCTAGGTTAATTAGCAGAATAACCCCAGGGAGTTGTTTAGCCTGCAGCCCAAGCACTTTGACACACAAATGCTCCCAACAGCTCCAGAAAGGATCTGCTCAAAGTGACACAGCTGGGGAGGGACGAAGCCAGACCTGCCCCCATTCTGTTCCCCTCCCCCAAAGGTCCTTTGGTTGCTCAGCAGAGATACAGAACACATCGACCCTCTGAGTGCACTGTAACCTGTGCCAGGCCAACATCAGGGGACGGGCCATACATCCACATTCTGTGATTGTGTGCACAGGGGCGCCTCCTCCTGCCTGTCCTCCGCTGGCCCAGGGAAGGGAGCCTCCACCTGCTGCCTCTAAAGCCCAGGCTGACCTGGGAGGCGGCCACCCCAGGCTCCCCCTGGATGGAGCCAGGGCAGGAGGAGGAAGAGGTAAAGGGGGAAGAGGACACACGGGTCACCGAGCCCGGAGCTGGGAGTGGTACCTGGGAGCCAAATGAATGAGGAGCTGAGACAAATCACGCACACGGGGTGGACATAAATTGCAGGCTGGAGGCGGACGCTGAAGAGCAACAGATGGGCAAGGACCCGCTGGGTGGAGGGTGGCAGAGATGAAATGCCGCCTGGCGTGCCTCCCCCAGGTGTTCCACCCAAAGTGCAAATGAGGAAGGTAATTAAGCCGAGAAGCCTCTGTGACTGGGACGTGGTTAATAAGCTGCTGCCCCTCCTCACAGCCACTGCCATTAGCTCTGGCACAGAGAGGGGTGGCACCTGGATTGGCAGGTCCTTGTTGGCAGCAGGATGGCGTCTCCAGGACCTACTGCCGGTGAGCCCGGACGCAGCCCGTCCAGCCCTCTCACAGGGCTTAGGGGGGACACGCCTGCCTCCCGCCGCTGCACACCCCCGCACCTCCAGCTCTGCAGCGCCTCCGCTATGGCAAAGAATGATGTCGAGACAGACCCAGGCTCAGATCCTGGTACCCAGGACGACGCTGCTGCGCTTCCAGGGTGTCTGTGCCGAGTGAGAGGTGCCGGCCGTGCCCAGGGCAGAGCTTTTCCCTGCTGGCATCCTGTTGTGGGGGGCGGTCCTGGGCGTTGTAGGATGCTGGGCAGCATCCCTGCATTAACTCAGTAGGCGCCAATAGCACCCCCTGCTCCATTTGTGACGATTAAATGTGTCTCTAGAAACTGCCCACTGTCCTCTGGGGGTGGGGAGACCCACAAWCACTAAGACTCAGAGCCACTAGCTAGAAACAGGATTGGCCTTCCACCCACAATAGTTGTTCTCTTTTCCAAAAATTTAAGCAACTCCAGAACACTCTCACAGTTTAAGTAGGTGGTAGGAAAATACAGGTTTGCAAACAAGCATTTTCTCCTTCAATGGAATGCTAACAAGCTCTTTGGTTAAAGGCATGGGRAGGAGCTGGCAGGTCTTTCTTGCCAGTCTCCAAAACACCAACATCCGTGCCATCTGGGCTTGGATGGATGTCCTAGCTCCTCTGGGCTGCTATAACAAAACATCACGACTGGGAGGCTTACAACAGAAATGTGTTTCTCACGGTCCTGGAGTTTGGG